TTCCTCCACACCAAGAACATTACTTCTGGACTTTTGTTGTCTATCAGTCGTATACTGTTAGCCTGTGCTTGATGAAGAATATTCTTCTGAGAATAGACCGTCTTAGTTCTTGCTTATGCTTCCTCACGGCCTCTGATTGTCTGGCACTAGTGACTGCTATTTCCAATGTTAGATTGGCGTTCAATAGGAAAGAACACTAATTTCTAGTAAAAATACTGCCACGATCCTTGGCTTCCTGATGGTATAAGACCACTGGATCAGGGTAGCTCAGATAGGGTAGATTATATTAACTCAAGACACTAATAGTTAAGGGATACGAGAAATAGTAACAACCACATCCAAAACATAGATACATTTATTAGATTATCATCGTATAGAAGAGATTATAGATACGACATACAATTTATAAAATGGTTAAATAGTACTTACAATATAGATAGAGCCATTTTCGGAGAGGGTTGTCGGGTAGAACGCACCAAGACCTAACTAAACTGATCAACGTGATAACCGACTGTACCGGGTGAACAACTAAAAACGGCTGTCATCAATCCTTTTTCCAACTTTGATCGTCAATATCTTCAGTTAGCGAAAAGCTATCATGTTGCAGTTCTCGTTGGTCTGTTGAGATTTAGTTTCTCTATTTGATCGTGTGATAATATGCATACATTACATTTTTAATTCACGATATCTATTGATACTCCAGATCACGCCGACAGCCGTTCTTAGCTGTTCACCTGGTACAAATCGACAGTTTACACCACCGACAGCAACTATTCAAATACCGATCATCAACTGCCTACTGGAATATCCACAAATCTATATTTATCTGAAATCTCGAGTACTGTTATTGTTTAGGTGATTCTCAGTACGTTTCTGTTGGAGGTTACTCAGTCGTTTAGGTTGTTGATGAGTCAATGCCAAAACTTGTTCCAAATGTTTATAAACTTTCGGTGCGATGGAAGAAGCACGATTTGGAAATTATGAAAATATTGAATTAATGATTTCGATTATAATTTTGGAATAATTACTTAATTGTGACAATACTGTGACGTTCATCACGATGAGAAAATGCATAGAGCATTTGTTCAAACTTTTTATTCCTTCTAGATTTCTAAAAATAAATGAAAAATAATTCGTAGACCGTCTATTGGTAATCAGGAAAAAATCGATAATTCACTATAGGCGACTGAGATTAAGATCGTAGCGCCAGAACGGTGAATGTCGGTACTACTCTATGGGCCATTGGCGGATTGTTTACATTGTTTGGTAATGGTGTTTATGTTCATTTCGTTTTGAGTTTTCGACCGTTCAGCTTAGTTATTTGTCAATTTTCGAACTTTGTATTTTCCAGCGGTCTATTGTGTTTTGATTGAGCACTATATTATCTCTGTTCAACATTAGATAACGTCCCTACCTCTAGTGGAACTTCATATATACCAACATACATAAGCTGTAAGTTTTTATCATTATTGAACAATAATTCTCATGAAAACCTGTGTGGGATGTTGATTTCCAATTCGAATATATGGCTGGGATAATCCCCTGATAGCATGATATTTTTAAGAGAAAATCCAGCATACTTTTTGAGAATAAAATGTTCTTTCGAAGGTGAATTTAGGTATGCAGTTTCTACTTGACTTTTTACAACATAATCATCAAAACCCTGATTGATAAAATTCTTTACTGTTTAAAAATTCTACTGTTCATGAGTAAAGATATATTCAGTTTAAAATTTGTTTGTTTTTTTACCATCACCCCAAGAAGTAGGTATTATATTCATAATAGACATACATTTGGGAATATATATGAGTACATTTTCAGTGAAGTGTAAAAAACAATCTCTCATTATGTTCAGACACTTTTTCCAATCTTCAAGTTATGAATCCACACCTTTCTCCTACCGATCACTTCCTTATTTCCCAAATTATTAGTTTCAAATGCTAATTTAGACTGTCCTGATTTTTTAAAGGATTGAAAGCAATACTCGGGATTTTTTTGCTCAAGGTGAACAATCAGGTACACAACAATAATGACTCATGTTTTTAAACGTTTATAGAAGTTCTCAAACAAAATAATAGACAATTAAAACACAACTACTTCTTATACAAAATACACGCAAACTAATGTAAACAAAGCAATCAATGGCCCATACGTTAGTTATATCAGACAACGGTAGAGGGAGTACTCCTTAGCATGAATCGCCTATTCAGTGAGTTGACCTGCGTTGCCGTTTCAGCCGATTATTTTCTTCCTTGAATATTTTAACATTTATCGCTCTCACGATTTAACTGATTTCAACAATATCATGGATGAACTGAGCAAGACAGTTTGAAACTCATGTATTCTTGTTTCCCTATGCTATGAAGTGGATTGTGGCATTTTATGATATAGATATTGAAGTCATGTCACCAGAATTTGAGGTAGGTTCATTAAAAAGTATATCAAAATCGTTCAGTTAGAATGTTATTTTATAAACCTATGTTTAAACGAATAATTGAGAAGTAGACCAAATTTCGTCGCTGCTGATCGAACCTACAACTTGCTACATTCACCAACTCGATTACTTATCATGTTAGCTATGAAGTTGAAGAATTGGAAATGAGGCAAAAAAAACTATACGATACATACATACTAAATTGACTATCTTTACTTCATCAATGAATATCAAATTATCTCACCAGTTCACAGTAGGAACGATTCTGAATTGGAAAATATTTACTTGATATTTCCTTGATATAAAACAGCTGTAAACACAGGAGAAGGGATTTTCACGTCAGTACTGGCGCCGCCGAACGCTATGTTCGAACGTTCAATGAAATTGTATGGCATTCAAATGGTCTTTTTGGAAATATTACAGCATAATTTATCAAAAAATTAATGCATTCATGTTATGTTACTACTATATTTCAATTATGTGCACATTTAAATTGAATTAACGCATTTGTGTCCTTGTCTATTGCAATTTCTCACTCAAACCTTTATCGAGAATCCCAATGACAACTTGATATCTTTTAAGTTCATGGACGAAATCAGGTGGGAACGAGCAACTCTTAGAAGCATGTAAATCCGTTACAAAGTCTTCCACCGCCCGCTTCACCTTCCATTTGCTTCCGAATATGGAATCTGACCCGTTCATAAATCACATTCTTACTTGGTATAAAATATGAATTGAACTTTCCAAGGACTAGATAAATTTTTTTTATCTCTGCAGGTGTCACTTTAAATGACTGAAGGATATGTTCAGCCTGTGGTCCCATGAGATATATTAGTGAATTGAGTTGATCTTCTTCTAGTTTATTCATTAGCCCTGAAGCACTTCTGATTCGATTGAAACGTACCTTCCAATTATCACATTCTTCTCCTGACTTGAAAGAGAACGGCTCTGGTGCTGGTATGTGATACACTGGAAGAATATCGCTTGCGGCATCGTCTCCGAAGGCGTTGTAGTTTAAGTTATATTTTAGGTTCTAGTTTTATGTCATGGTATAGTCAATGGTTAGATCTAGAGTCCCTGTATATACCTTTGACAAGAGTCTGGACACAAAACTGACAGCCGTTGCGGTTTTTAATATTTTGTTTCATTTGGTTTGCCCACCTGACAATGTGACGAAACACCATCATAGTCGTCCCGCCCGCTTTTTTTAATTATTTAGAATTTCTGTCTCTGTCACTGAAATTTTATGACCGCCAAAATGTAGCATTTTAAATTATTTCAATGTCCTGTTGCGTACATTATTGCGATAATTCATTAGGAAAAGGATTCAAGTTATTCAATTTTCCGAATGATCCTTTAAAGATAATGTCATGGAAGAATGCAATGAAACGTCCAGAATAGAAAATTAATTTAAAAAAATCCGCAATATGTAAGGTGAATATTCAAATTTACTTGAAAAAACAGTACAAAAAAGATGAATTTCAGGCCCATTTTGATAGATTCTTTCGAGCTGATGGATTTCAAATTGAAAGAGTCTGCTGTGCCGTCAATTTATAAAATAGGGACGTTCAAAAAAAGAGTTCCGTCGTCATCGTATTGGGAATTACTGAATGATACGATCGCAGAGAAAGAAAATGAGAATGAGATGATGCGGGAAGGAATTGAAAGTTTGAAATCAAAACTAGAAGATTTAGGGAAATTGCAATGTGCTGTCATCAGACCACGGTGTTTTTAATTTAGATCAAATCAAAATTTACAGGTGAATGTAGACTGCATTGGGACAATTATATATCTTCTATTTTGTTATATCCCAACAGAAAACAACTCTATTTTCTTGGCTATATGTGATACCACGTAGAACACTTAAATTATCTTTTTTTAAATCTAATGAAGTGAAGAAATATCTGATGACGAAAATTTGCAATAGCCATCTCAGGAATTGATTATGAAAATTATCGATTCGAAATTTGAACACCCTGTTGTTCATTATTTGAAAATCTAATAGTAATTCTAGTTAAAATAGCCCTATTTCTAACTTCTACCTACGGCTATGAACGGTTTGACAAATACTCTAACCTTCAAAATTTTTTCTGACAATTATTGATCCTAGGGGAATTGAGAAGACAGAGCTCGATATATATGTCTTATTCCTTTATTCAATCATCAATGCATTTTTTGAAAACAGGAAAGGACAGAAGTATAGCTGTGTCCGGTATATACAGGGACTCTAGTTAGATCCACTGTAGCTGCCACCATGCAATATTGGGTTGTAGTGATAAACAATAGTATAGCTAATAAATGTGTAAACAAGATCCAATATCGTGATTGACCTCCGTGTCAATCTGACACCACATAAAACATAATCTGAAAACAGTGACAAACTATTTAGTGAGTGTTCACAAGATCAAGACAAAAATAAACACTGCTGACTATACACATATAAAACTTATATACAGCCTCATAGGTGGTTGTGTAAATTCAGCGACGATATACATCTTCAATGTATTATTCTGCCTATCATTTTTTTATTCATGGAAGATTTGTAAAAACAATATTGATTTTTCAGGATGGTATACAACGATCACTTTGGCAGTATATGGCACACTCACAAACAAAATTACCGAACAAATAATCCAACCAGTCGTGAACCCTTCTCTTCCTGCTCAGCCCAATACAATTGCAGACGTTCAACAAATCTGCTCTAGCCAACCATTAGAGACAGAGTGGCCACAAGAAAATATTCAAACCCTTCCAATAGACTATAATACACAACAGGCAACGCCCTATCAGACATACAACCAACAGGAACCTTTTACTCAGGATTACGAGTATTATAGTGATGTTCCTAAAGATCCTAGGAGTTATCTTCATAATCCGGAGACTGAATGGGATAGTAAAAGTAGAAGTAGGGTTTCAGATGCTGATAGAGATAAGGATAGGGAGCGTAATCGAGACGTAGGATATCAGGTGAGAAAATATAAATAAATTACTTGTTTTCTTATTATCAGTCAATCAGTCATGTCAGATTTTGGATATTGTTTTGATTCCTTCAATCTCTTTCTAGATACATTCTATCTCAAATAAGGAATAATTTCGTGTGTGATCCTAATCAATTATAAGAGTTTGAGATTATTTCTAGATTCACCTCTATTCATGAAACATACTCAATATTATACTATAACATAATAAAAACTCTCCAAGTCGTCTCCACGAAGTTCAATTTCAAGTTCATAAAGGGGGGACATGTTTTGGACTCAAAAGGTGTCGCATCAGCCGGATGAAATGAATATCAGGAGACAATAAGAATGGCACTGGGACGAAATAGCGCAGGACAAAATAGCGCGGACAAAAGAGCGCAGGACAAAATAGCGCAGGGACGAAATAGCGCAGAGACGAAATAGCGCAGAGACGAAATAGCGCAGAGACGAAATAGCGCAGGGTCATAATAGCGCAGAGACGGAATAGCGCAGAGACAAAATAGCGCAGGGACATAATATCGCATAGATGAAATAGCGCATCAGGACAGAATATCGCATAGAGGAAATAGCGCATTGACAAAATAGCGCAATTCAATGTAACCCAGTATAGTTCATTGTGTCTGTGTTGTTCATGAATTCATAAACTATGAGTAATGGTACGAAATAGCGCAGGAACAAAATTGCGCGCGAAAATGGAGTGCAGGATCTATGATTAGGTTTGTTCGTTTGTTAGAGTAAAGACTCATTCTTCAAATACAAGGTGTTTCAAAATGAGTCTATACCCTAGCAAACAAACTAACCTAATCATAGGTCTACTTTAACAATCCAACGGCGCTCAAATTTGTCCCTGCGCTATTATGACCCTGCGCTATTTCGTCTCTGCGCTATTTCGTCTCTGCGCTATTTTGTCTGCGCTATTTCGTCTCTGCGCTATTTTGTCTCTGCGCTATTATGTCCCTGCGCTATTATGACCCTGCGCTATTATGTCCCTGCGCTATTTTGTCCGCGCTATTTCATCCTGCGCTTTTTTTTCCTGCGCTATTTCGCCCCAGTGCCATAAGAATATCAAGTAATACCAGGCTTTGGTAATACAAAATGGTACTCATGTGAAGAAGTAAAAAGGCAAAAACAATCATAATATAAACAATCAAAATATTTTGGTAGTTCAAATGAAATTGAATTGAAAGAATAACAGGTACTTTAGAAGAGGGCCCTGTACACCAGATATAAACTCATCCATCCCGCAAATTCGAGACCAGGAAGCAATCATGGATTGAGTGGAAACTTATACATATTTATTGATAATAAACCAATCGATTAATCACGTGACTACCTAAATGATGTCAAAACTACAACCAACAACCAACGTCAAATACCTCAGTTGTCAGCGGTGAAGCTTGACAAGGCAGAGAGTTCCATGATTATGACCAACTAATGAAATAATTAGAATATAAATATGAAAGGAGGCACAACTACGATTAACAATAGAGTATAGAATTTCGAATTTTATGTTTGGACAACAGAACTTTTGAAACACAAAGAATTGAACAGTTCTTGACAGTCAAAATGAGTCTCGAAAACTTCTAACAAATTCAACAAAGGTATCAATATCCAAAGAATGTTGGTAATTAAGGACATGGCTAGCAAAAGAACTGTGGGTATTAAATTCATCAACCTTGATAGTATTTCTAAATTTGTCTATAAGTTTAACATGTTCATTTACGCGATTCTGAATCCTTCTACCAGTCTGACCAATGTATTGTGCATGACAATTGGGTTCTGAACAAGAGATCATATGGACACCTGATTTTGAAATAGGGGGCACCTTGTCTTTAGTGTGGATGAAACTATGTGAAATTGTGTTTGAAGTGTAAAAGGAATTGTTAATGTCTGTACTGAACCGATACTTTACCTATGAAAGGAATTGACGAGAAGTTCTAGGACTATTAAGGGGTATTAGACTGTGTTTGAGAGATTTTTGTAAATGTTGAATATCCTATGAATGAGAAGGGGTGGTTAACCATTATATTATGACCAATTTGTTTCATAATGTCAATTCTTTATTGAAATCTAATGGATTCATAGGAATGTTGGAAAATCTGCGAAAGAGGGAATTAAAAGCTGCAAATTTGTTACATGGGATGGCAAGCAGAAAAGGGGGTTACTGTGTCAGTGTGAGTCGGTTTACGATAAATAGAAAAAATCAATTTGTAATTTTCTGTACTTATAAGTAATCAGACTTCAGTAAATGAACTTGTTAAACTTATAGACAAATTCAGAAACACTATCAGGGATGATGAATTTGATACCCGAAGTTCTTTTGCTAACCTTGTTCTTGATTCCCAAATTTTTTTGATATTAATACTGATTAGGACATTCTACATATTTGCCAAATTGGCAATTTGTTGAATTTGTTAGAAGTTTTCGAGATTAATGCTTCATTGAAGAATGTAAATGTGTTATATCTCAACGATAAAATTCATTCCGACTGTCAAAAAACTGTTCAATTTTTTGTGTTCCTAAAGTTCTGTTTGTAATTTTTTCCTGCCTTGATTTCCGAACCTAAAATTCGAAATTCTATACTGTATTGTTAATCGTAGCTGGAACTCTTTGTCTTGTCAAGCTTCACCGCTGACAACTGAGGGTTTTGACGTTGGTCGTCGGTTGTACAGAGTCTTCAACAATGATTGAGTGCCACTTGACCATTTTTGGTGGGGCGTGTCTTTTCCATCCATGTTAAAGAGATACGAATGTATTCTTGGTTGCATAGTAATCTGTCATGTGGTTTTCAATTATTGTTGAAGACCCGTTAGTTTTGACATAGGGTATGTTCCGTAAATCAACTTGCTTATTTCGGTTATTAGTTTTCTGTTCCGTGGATATGAAATGTTTGGTTGGTTCCTGACAAATGTTTATTTACGGAACTCGGTTTTGAGGAAGCGGTAGATCCACTGTCACTAGAACGACCGTGGATATTCTCTGGTAAGTTCGGTAAGTTCTATTTGACGTTGACTTGTTTTAGTTTTATGTTTGTTTCTAAGATTCACAAATTACAACGAAAAACAATATTCCCATTGTAATTACTGCGTTGAATTCCGATGGATTCGTTTACAGAGGTGAATTGATAATATTCGATATATTTTCAGTATGATGACGTTTTTTTCTATTTCAGGACACTACATCCTGTGTTTGTGCTCACTGTGTACAAGAATTAGGGACTATAATTTGACAAATGACCGTAAATTAACCACAACCATATAGTCACCAGTAGATAACTACTGTTGAACTTGTTGGTACTGGCACTGAAAGCATCGGTAACCTCGGGTGATTAACGTAACATATTAATAGTGTTGGGCATTTCAGTTCACTTTGGAGATCGCTCAATTTAGTTCGTTCTCCAATGGCGAACAAGTTCCCTCTTCTAGTTCGTTAGATATTTTTGTTGCCGATCGAACGGGAATGTCTCGCGTATTTGGTATTAGATTGTAGATTGTAGATGGGTCGTATAGGCTGAGAGACCTCTCGATCACTGCGACCTAGAAGATCTATTGTGATTACCCCTATCTAGTTTTGGTCCTCTAACCCTAGACTTCTGATGAAGCCTACGATTTTCCTGACGGTTGACTTTTGCACTTCAGCAGGGGTGAGATAGACCTTTTCTAGGTTCAGCCTTTGGCGGACTAATACTTCACATGAGCAAAGTATGTGTTCCGCGGTTTCGGTCGCATTGTTACAAAAGCGGCAAGGGTCAGTCTCCGCCAGACCCATCTTTTTGAGGTGGTACCTCAGAGGGCCGTGTCCTGTGAGAAAGCCTGTGATAAGCTTTAGCTCTGGTTTGCTGAGGCTGAGTAGCTCTTTGGCTCGGTTCTGCGAATGGTTGATGAACCTTTTCGCTTGTCGTTGACCTGGAGTTGCTCTCCAGTAGGAGGACTTTTCAATCTCTTCCCATTCCCCGAGTTCTCCCTTTAGGTGACATTTGCTTATCCCACAAAAAGGCTAAGGACCAAAAAGTGCAGATGCTGCACCTTTTTTTTTGCAAGGCGATCAGCTGCCTCATTTCCTTTGATTCCTTCATGCTCTGGAACCCACATAAGTGTGACTTTGTTGCCCTTTCCCAGTTGCATGAGTGTTTCAAAGCAGTCCCATGTAATCTTTGATGTGAAAACGAATGATTTTAGGGCTTTTAGTGCGGCTTGGCTGTCTGAGCAGATATATATGTTGGCACCCCTCAGACCTTTGCTCAGGCACCTTTGGGCGCAAAGGTTGATGCCATGTATTTCAGCTTGGAAGATAGTGGGGGAGTGACCTAAGGCTTCAAATAGCCTACATCCGGGTCCATATACACCCGCGCCTACCCCTTCTTGAATTTTCGAACCTCGGTGTACCAAACAAGGGAACCTCTGTCCAGCTGAGGCTCAGTGGAACCGTACCTAGGGCGGCTTTTTATAACCACTTCAAAGGTATGATCGAAACTGAGCCTGGCTGGCATTATGTCCGATGGTTTGGTTGCAGATTCCATTTTTACTTCTTGTAGAATGACCAGTGACATCACCTGGTCTGGCCAATTCAGTATTTGGTATTATTATGGTGTTTAAAAATTAGGAATAGGGAAGGTATGGAAATAAAACATCAATTGAATATTGATTGATGGCTAACTTGTGGGCTGATGTACCTAACAGTTTAGTTCATGACAACTCGAAAGTTCAACTAAAATACGAATAGAGTAAAATAAAAATACAACGTAGAAAATATTAGCATCTCCGTAATCAGTAATCACACCTTACAGCGCTTTCAGCCGCTTCCAGCAGTCTGCACGTTTACTTGGTATCCTTTCCTGATCGCGATCGCGGAACGAGAACCACTCTACTACGAACTAGAACAACGTGAACGGAACCGAGAGCGGGAGCGGACTGCTTGCAGCTAGAGTCCCTCTTGCAGTGAGCTAGCGGGACACATGACACGATCACAATCGCATGATCATTTGATCAG